CAGCAACCAGGAAGTGATGGAGATGGTGCGGAAGAGGCAGCTGCTTCCCTGCCCGGAGGATTGCCCCCCTCGCATGTACATGCTGATGGCCGAGTGCTGGCAGGAGGGTCCCACTCGACGGCCGAGATTCAAAGACATCCACACCAGACTACGTGCTTGGGAGTGTCTGTCTTCCCACGCCAGCTCCAGCACACCATCAGGAGGCAACGCCACCACCCAGACTACCTCTCTGAGCGCCAGCCCCGTCAGCAACCTCAGCAGCCCGCGCTATGCCGGATACATCTACGGACCTCCACAGAGCCTTGTACCGGGACAAATCGCGGGCTTCATGGCAGCGCCAATGCCTCAAAACCAGCGTTTTATACCTGTAAATGGATACCCTATCCCAACAGGCTATGCTGCCTTCCCTGCTGCCCATTTCGCTCCAACTCAGGGCCCTCCACAGATGGTGCAGCACGGCCCTCCGCCGAAGAGCCGGTCACCCAGCAGCGCCAGCGGCTCAACCAGCACAGGTCACATGACCAGCATCCCCTCCACAGGCTCCAATCATGACGCCAATACTCCTTTGCTTTCTCATTGTGTCACACTGACACCCATGACAGCAGTGTCAGGTGGCACAATGCCAGTTTTTGGACATATGGCACAGAAGACTATGCAAATAGACCCAAGTCAAGCAGTGTTGCTGGCTGACACTAACAGACGGATGTACAGTGACTCCATCATTACTGCCGATTTGTGAATACATGTGTTGTCCTGTATATTGATTTTATTGAATTATTGATATTTTAATGTTTTTTTTCTTCCTTGTAAATATGAAATAGCCTGAACAAAATGCGAAAGTTTATATTTTGTTGTTTTATAAATGTGTTTTAAAGGAAACTTGTATATTCACAAATTCTCTGTGAAGTTCATGCCACTTTTTCAACTTAGTATGACTAAACATGGCCTTAAAATGTCCTTTTTTTCAAACAGAACTTTGAAATCATGCTCTTTCAAGGTTATTTTCGACAGAGCTGTGGGTTTATCACCAGTTTTGTCTGCTTTTTCACTCATCGACGACTTCCTGGAAGGCTTCAGAATGTCTTGGTCTCTGTCCCGTCGTTGCATTTTAGACTTATTGAATCAGTTAAATTGCATTAATATTGCGTTGAAATACAACACTATAGCCGACGTTTCCAAATTAAGGTAATAGTTTTGCAAAAATATATCACTGAT